CGTTACTCGCTCTTTCTTAACCACCTTGTGATATGTTGTACATTTATGTTTAGACATTTGTTAGACTTCCAAAAATTGTGATATGAAAGTGTTTTTAGAAAATATTTTTGTTCGTAACTGAATAAAAATTAAACTAGATGTGATTTATTTTTGTAACTGTATACTTTTTGGGAAGTGATAAGTTTCATGAGCTTGTTTGCAACGAAAGTTTATTTGAATAAAGACAAAAAAGTTGAGTTGAGAGTTTCTAATGTGGAATAACAGGGACGGATGGATGTAACTTTAGCAAGCAACCGTGAGCTCATGTATGTGCAATAATTTCCAACTTTAATTACTTCTTTATACTTCCTTTGACTCGTTATAAAATTGCCATTAAAACAGTTTGTTAGATAATTATATTTTTAGAAAAAATTTAAATTAATTCTTTAAAGAAAAAACACTAAACATAATTTATCAAGTTTTATAAAAATATGTTTGTCAAAAGTTTTCAGAAATCGTCCCAGTTTAATTTTTTGTTGTTATTTCATAAAAAAAAAGATATAATATAACAATGCGTCTATATAGGTCTAAATTTTTAAATAAGAAAAAGTAAATTGATTCCGAGTGCAATAAATCTAACATTTCATCTAACAATCTAGTTAGTCAACTGGGAGTTTTAGTACACAAAAGCTCATTTTTTACCAACAATATAATTTACTAAAATGATTCGACAAAATTGTTCATAAACTTTCAGAGTGAATGTGTTTTAGTTACATGCTTGATATTCAATCGAGAATATAAAGTTTATATAAAGGTTTATTTTAAATCAACTGTTAATAAAAGCCTCATATACTTATTATTTTATCAGCAAATGATAATCAACAGGATTTAAATGTTAAAAAACTAAAAAATTTCAACGTTACAAAAATGTTTAACATTGCACAAAAACTAAAGTAGCTTCCAAAATAAAACAAGGTATTGTCAACATGGATTTAAATTTTGTGGAAACATGCGTACAAACAAAAACCAAACCCACAAGTAAACATATCTAAGTGCAAACAAACAAACAAACGGAGAGACATACAAACGAACAAACAAGAAAACATACACATGTTGAAGATTTAATGAAATCTCATTGAGAGTGAGGCACTGCAAACCGCCATCACCAGGCAACAAGCAGACGTCATGCAAATAATACGTTTGAAGTCGCCAGTGGAAGATTTATTATGATGGAGTGGCGCGAAAATGAACTAATAAATGAATGTATGCAGCACAAAAACACACAAATTATTAGCAAAACTTTTTCAAGAAAGAAAAAAAATTATAACAAAAAGAAATATTTATAATTATATATTATTTAATTCATTTTACAAAAAATCAAAACTAAAAGTTATCATAAGCTAAATTTAAAGTTTCATCTTTTTTTGAAAGAATGTTAGTTTTTAGTTAAGCCAAACAATGCCAAGTATCTAGCATCTTATTCACTATTTCAAACTGTGAATACATATCAAATTATTAAGATTCGCTTAAACTGGTCTCGTTTTTAAAAAGATAACACTCACAGAAGTTTCTTAATAACAAGAAAATAGCCAGCATAGTGGAATATTTCTTTAATTTGTTTTTCTAATATTTTCAAATTGTTTTTGCACTTTTTTCATTTTTTTTAATTTTACACAATCTCCAATTTCTTTATTTATTTGATTTTTCTTCGTTTTTATACAATTTTTTTGGTTATTCTAGCTATGACGCAATCAATCACATAACCCCCTCACTTCAAAGCCATTTGATTTATAACGTTATGACGTAACACGACAATGAACTCGTATTCATGTCTTTTCAAAGGGAGTTTGAACTATTTTTTTATTCATTCATAATTTATTTTTTTTTTGGATTTTCAATCGTTCAACGCAATTTCAAGCCTGCAGGTTCTGGGACTATTTTCTATACCACTATTTTTCATAATAGGGTCCAATATATTAACACTGTCCAATTTTCTCTAATATTTACCAAATACTGATGATTAATTTAATCCATTTTAATTCTGCTTTTGCTATTACTAACTCCTATACTACTACTTACTACTTCTATACTAATAAAAATAATAATAACTCTAATAATAATTAATACTCTACTACTACTACTACTTCTACAACTACTTAATTCTTCTACACTACCAATTACCACAACATTATTATTTTATGGCTGCTACTGTAACGGCAACTACTACATCCGCTGATAGCATCGCGCGTAGGAAAACTAATGAAAGTTAAGCTAACAAAGAGATGATGAAGAGACAGGCAAACAGACGGGTGGGCAGACAGTCGGACAGACAGACAGTTAGCATTAGCACAGTGAAACACAATGAGACACACAAAAAACGCCAACTGGTTCGCACCGTCATCAATTGAAATTCAGTGCCAGACATACAGACAGGCGGACTGGAAGGAAATATGATGTTGGTTATGGTGTTGCGATGATGACGACGATGATGACATTGATGTTGCTGCTTATGATGATGCTGCTGTTTGCAATGATGATGTTGGTGATAATATTTATGATAATGACGATACTGATTATAGCAATGCTGATAATGATAGTTTAGGGCTCCAACGGCTGTAATTACAACGTCAGTGAAAAAATTTTTTCGTAAATAATTACAATTTTCAATTTAAAAAAATTACAGGCCAAAATAGTTTGTAAAAACAAAATAAAAACATACAGAAAGAGAGATATGACATGATAAAAACCGAAATAGAACAATAAAGAATAATACAAGTTGGTTGTTTTTTATTTGTCATAACTCTTAAACGGTCGTGTTGAATGATGGAAGGAAATGAAAAATGAATTATAAATTACTCTCGCTATGTCAAGTTTGGAAGTGTGCGTGTTGGTGATGTTTTTTTGCTCGTGAGAGCATGGGCACATAAAAGTTGTGGGTGTTGTTATTTTTATGTACGCATTTCGTTTATTTGTACTTTTTAAATAATATTTGTACTCTTTCTCTTGCTTTCTCTCTCTCTTTCTCTCTCTCGCTTTCTCTCTCTCTTTTTCTCTCTCTATCTGTAGTACTGTAGTATATGTTAATATAATTGTTGTTATCGAAATGTTAAATCATTTAATTGTGGGTTTGAAATAGAATTTATAAAATAAAAATATTTTAACAATTAGAGTCAATTATTATAATATACCGAAGTATTAGATATTCAAACAAAAAAATTATATCATTTAATACAATTTGATTTCTCCACAAACCTAACGCAATGTTTAACGCAAGGGTTTCTATATAGCTTGCCTCAACAAATATCTCACAAATCTCTTTCAATAACTTGTGAATAATGTTGACAAATTAGATTGAAAGACCAAAATAGAAAAATAATAATTTAAATTTATTTTGCAGGCTAGAGAGGCAATAGAAAAAAATTTTTCAAAGTCATTCAAAATTACTCTGAGAGGAATTCTTCATTTTGCAATTGCTTCTTTGATGGAAGGCTTGCACGCAGCGCTCTTTATTCATAAGAATCAATACTTATTTTAGTGCCACAATTGATTTCTTTCTGGCTTTTCTTTCTTCATTTTTTTTTCTCTTCACTTTTAGTTGAACATTCCTTACAATGTTTCAGTGAGAGACCGTTTGAAATAGCGCTAAAAGAGGAATCATTATTGTAACCACTATGAAAACGGTTCCGTATTATGGTTAAATAATGAACGAGTAACGTGCCTAATTTTTTATCTAACGGTAATGGTAATATTGATTTTAATAGCAGTATTGTAATTCAAATGGAAAATTTTTAATTTTCAAAAAAATTTTAAAACTGTTTTCTTCTTGTTCGAAAATCAGTATTTCGTGCTTTGCATGTTAACCCAACGACTCAATATTTGCAAAAAGAAAAATTTTCAAATTGAATCGGATAAATGAGTCGTAAAACTAACACAATAAAATGCTAAATTGCAACAAAGACCGACTAATTCAATTCAATAACATTTCAATTTATGTCACATTTTTTAATAACATCAGCAGAAATATTGGCGTGAATATATTAATGTATGTATGTATTATTACTATATGACTATTTATATAGCGCCTTTAAAGGCAACTTCTCAAAGTATGTATGTATGTATATATATATATATATATATATATATATATATATATATATGTGTGTGTGTGTGTGTGTGTGTGTGTATGTGTGTGTGTGTCTGTGTGTATGTTTGTATATTTGTATGTTTGTCTGATTGTATTATATATGTATGCATATCTGGTTCTCTAGACCCACCATGGATACCTTAATTACCTTTTTGGGACGTTTACAAATGTATAAAGGTAGTGAGGCATAATTCTAACCTTCTATCTTCATTCCTTTCTATAAACCAAGCAAAATTCTTTTCGAGATTTTTACGTTCTTATCTTTTTTTTTTAACTAAGGTATCAATTTTAGTTTTAGTCTGATTTTATTAAAGTTTTATTGATTGCTTTGGTTGAATGTTAAAGCGGGCGATATGAATCTTTTTTGATTTAAAAAAATAATGAAATGTTTGAAAATAATTTTTTCAGATTTATTTTATTAAATTAATTTAGGGTGAAAAATTAATTCATACATTTAATTCTATCTAAATTATTTTATAATTTAAGAAATATATTGAGTCAAAAAATAATGGGGTTTATTTAATAATATTATATCAAATATTGCAAAATGGGGAACAAGTATTTCTAACGATAACAAGCATTATTATTCCGTTAAATTATAAGATCTCAGACAATGTTTAATAACGGTAATACTTGATATTGACGATCATAGTATCGTATTGAATCGTATCCTATTGGATCATATCGTATCGTATCGTATCATAGAATATCGTATCGTATCATATCATAGAGTATCGTATCGTATGATGATGAAAGAACTATAAAAGATATATTTAGTTTGTTTCTACCATTATTGAGAAGAATGATTCTTCAAGTTAGTAATTACTTTTTGCAATAACATCGATGTTAACATCCGTAATGAATGAATATAATAATGATGGTCATGATAAAAACTATGAGAAAGAGAGGGAGAGAGAAAGAGAAAGAGCAAGCGAACCTCATGTAAGCGATGGTACGAACAATGAACAATAAGAACGATGAACGGCAGACGAGAGACGAAGTGGCGCCAATTTTTGAAAGGATCCGGATGCAAATTACAACATGCGATCTCTTTTATTTGTTTGTTTTACTGATCTCTCTCTTTCGCCCCTCTCTCTCTCTTTCTGTTTCTCTCTCGTTTTCATTCCTTCGTTTATTCGTGCTCTCATTCGTTCCATTATAAATTTTTTTATTCAACCCATTCAAGCGTATCTGACATTTTTCTGTTTATACAAGATTTTAATTATTTCTCCATATGCCTGGTGCTAATTATTAAGTTATTATTTCTATATAATATTTATTTTTTTTTATTTTTTTGACGATTTCAATTGGAGATTTCGTTTAATGTTCATGTTTGTTAATAATTTAGATGAGTATAGATATTTAGTATACTTAGATACATCGAGATATATTTAGCAGTTTCATGCGTGAGAGCGTGTACCTTTCCGTTGAGCATGTATATTCGCATGAACAGATGACACTTTGTTATCATAAATAAGGGTCAAATTGTGAGTATGAGTATCATATTGTTATATCTTTATTATCAGCATATTTCTCATATTTATACTTTAGCCAAATTTTTATTGTTGTTATCATCATAATAAACTTTTTTCACCATCATTCAACCATCACATCATAAAATCAATCATCGTCGTCATAATCATTATCATAAATTTTAATCATCATCCTACTCATAGTGGGAACTATAATTTTCTTCTTATTTATTATCATCATCATCCTCATCATTAACATCATCATCATCACCATCATCATTATCATCATCATGGACAACAACCGCTTACATTTCGAGTACATGATGAGCACTTGAGTATGCTGACAAATGAGAGGATGATGATAACGACGACGATGATGATATTTATAACATTTTTGTCATTGATAAGAGGCGGACAATGTTGATGATAGCAATGATGATGATGATGTTGTTACTGTCGATAATGATAATGATAACATCATTAGAGATGATGATGGTGATGATGATAATGGTTTCATCACTACGGTTTGGACCATAGTGATGAAACGCTAATAAATTTTGATTATGGAAATAAATTATAAGAACTGTGACAACGAGAGAATTATGATAATTTAAGAAAAATAACTTGACGATGATAACATAAAAATGATTAAGGGGAGTAAAAAAATGATGCTGATAAAGTGGTGAAAACGACGACGACTATGATGATATTTCATTCATGTTTCCTGTAACAACTATGGATTTTAGCATTTATGATATCAAATTTATCAACATATAATAGCTGATAAACTTATTCACTGAGCAAAGATTGAAGAATTTTATGATAGTATATCACAACTTTTAACATTTTTTCATAGATATATGTTTTTCAATATAAGATAATTAATAATAATTTAAGATTTGGTAATTTTTTTGGATTGTTCTCAAGCAAACGTTTGGCTTCACGTTTGTTACCTTACAAACGAATGCATAATGAATGGTGTATATTCATTCGCTAAATACATTAAAACCGGATATTATTTTCAGCGTTGAACGATCAAACAATCAATCAACTAATCAATCAATCGACTAAATGAATAAACAAATGATTGAATGAAGGAACAACTAAAAAAATGAATGAGTGAGTGAGTGAGTGAGTGAGTGAGTGAGTGAGTGAGTGAGTGAGTGAGTGAGTGAGTGAGTGAGTGAGTGAGTGAGTGAGTGAGTGAGTGAGTGAGTGAGTGAGTGAGTGAGTGAGTGAGTGAGTGAGTGAGTGAGTTAGTGAATGAGTGAGTGAGTGAATGAGTGAGTGAATGAGTGAGTGAATGAATGAATGAACAAACGGAGAAATGGATGAATGAATGATGAATAAAAATCAATCAGTCAGGTAAATCAATCAGCCGATTAAATTAATCAGTCAATCATTCAATCAATCATTCAACCTATCAATCGTTAAACTCTCTTTTACATCCTCCTGCCAGGGGCATTTGTGCGTGTGTACGTCTGTGTGTTTGTGTGTGCGTGTGAGTATATGCTGTGTGTGTGTGCGCGTGTGTATGGTGTGTATGTAAAATTAGTAGCTGTGAAACAGTAGTATTCAATATACAATGTACTACTATAGATTCAAACGAGTTGCTATTTCAAAATGACAGTAACCTAACATGCGAAACATCTCAGCCTTACCTTAAAATATTTTTATGAGAAAAAATTTTTCAAAATTTTTCCAAAAATGAAAATAATTGCGATATCTGTGTTGCCAAAATTGCCTTACCATTCATAGCAGTTATAAAAAAAACTCATCTGGTTAAGTTATCCACGTGTCATCTTTTCAATTATTATCAATCATTTGCATTAATCTTCAAGACGCGCCGTCATTAACTCCTTGGAGAACTGCAAGGAAAAACTTTTTTACATCGATGGAATTTCCATTGTTATTTGGGTTTATTCAAGTTTTGACAGAAAAAATGTGAATAGATATTAAAAAATAACATTTTTATTTTAATAATAATGGTAATGTTGGTTCTTAACTTTTGGATAACTTAGTCGTTTTAATTATATTGCTTTGATATTATTTATGTCAATGTTTCTATTCTTTATATTTGAGTAGTTGATTTTGTTGATATCGAAACGAAATGTTAATTATACTAACAATCCACTAGATATTACAAACTTATATTGTTTAAAACAAAGAATGTTAGAATGAAAGTAATACAAATATTAGTTTGGACTATTTATAAACTATTTAAATCATGCACGAAATTTCAAAATAAATTTAAAATCTAAATAAAAACAAACTGTTCCTACATATAATGTAAATGATACTATGGTATAATGACTCATTGATGGTTTGTGTTAGCTGGGCCAAAATAAAATACAATTTGAAGAATTCATAAAGTTGATGCTAAAAAATTAGTCATAAAAAGATTTAATCAGAAAAAATAGCACGCAATAAAAAAGCAATGAGCAATCTGAGAGAAGAGAGGTTAAAAAATAAATGAAGCACTCACACATGACATGCCCACATTCTTTATCAGGCATTTTCATGGAGATATAATCAATCAAAATTCATTCACAAATTTATCACTAGCAATAGAAGAGAGAAATTGCCTCTGAAAATCTTTATTTTATATTATTTTGAAGTTACATCTTTTCACAAGAATATAATTTTTGCAATATATTACAGTTACAAGCAATTTTGTAATGCATTATGAGAATATTTCATGAATATAAGTTATTTATTCAAATAAAAATTATTTGCTTTTTTGGTCATTATTTAATCCATCTTCAACGTACAACAAACTTTTCAACAGACACACTGAACCAAGGATCCTCGAAAGAGAAGGACGACCACTACAAACACCACCACACCTCCTCCACTCCCACTTCCTCCAATCTACCTCTCATGAACGGCACAAACTTCCAAGAACTTTGCCAGCTGGAAGCATTCCAGGCATCGTGTCCGTATGGGCACGCGATCCTTATGGTGTCTGCCAGGTACGGACGAATGCGATTGGATGGCAGATGTGTGAAGAGGTCGTGGAACAACATTGGCTGCTTCGTGGATGTGACCGCCCTCATGGACCCGTGGTGCTCGGGTCAAAGGTCGTGTCAGGTCGGAGTTGGGGAGCTGAATCATCTTCTGCCCTGTCCTGAAGATTTGACACTCTACTTGGAAGTTTCCCATGTCTGCGTCAGAGGTTAGGCTTTGGAGTACTTCAAATATGTTATTTTTTTTTCTTCGTTTAGACATGCTTCAAGTACTTGTCTCTGTTTGACAAATTAATTTCTTCCTTCAAATATTATTATATGATACTCTATATATTCATTCACTTAAATGAATGATTGTTATATTGTTAAAGCAAACTTAATACTAATTCAACCAACAGCCTTCCTTAAAATTAATATCTACCAGCATTTAACCAAACCTCACGTCCTACCTCGTGAGAANCTGGGTCTCTGGACG